AGCTCCCTCAGCCTTTCCTCATCAGGGAGATGTTCCACTCCCTTCATCATCTTCGTAGCTCTGCGCTGGACTCTTTCGAGCAGTTCCCTGTCCTTCTGGAACTGAGGGGCCCAGAACTGGACACAATACTCCAGATGTGGCCTCACCAATGCAGAATAGAGGGGGAGGAGAGCCTCCCTTGACCTACTAACCACACCCTTTCTAATGCACCCCAGGATGTCACTGGCCTTCTTGGCCACAAGGGCACATTGCTGGCTCATGGCACGAGTCGGTCTGGTGAAAGGTTGACCCACAGGAGTGTGCAGTGTTGGTGATCTCTCAGCTTGAGACTCACCTCTGAACACCGACAGTGATTGATTTTATTATTTCTTTTCATCATTATTCTTTTTGCTACATATGAAAGTGCTCATTGTATATTTGGGCCTCTTTATTCCTCCTTCCCTCAACATCCCCACCCCCAAGGAAGAAATCTCCAACCCCTCAAGGAGAAGGAAAGGTGCCCATACCTTGAAGACAAGTGGGGGTGAGGAAGACAGGACAAGAGAAACACTGAGAGGTCACCCAGCTGTGTGGGAAGTTGCCAGTGTTCGTGCTAGGATGGCAGAAGGCAGAGGTGCCCCTACAGCTGCTGGAGTAACTCTTGCTTACCCCTCATATGCGTAAGGCTCTTCTGTGTCCAGAGCAAGCTGGTCCAGAGCTCTTGGTTCTAAGTACATGTTTGTGGTCATTTCTGAATTAGAGAAATGAACCTGAAAAAACTGCCTAAAGTAGGACAGACCACTTATTACAGGAGGTGTAGAGGTTTCAGTTAGTCATCACTGTGGAACAGAAATCCCTTCTGGTTATACCTCAAGCTTGTTTCCACCACTGCCTCTAGAGCAGGTGCTGGTGATTTTCATGTCCCAGTTATCACATCTTTGAGCAACAGATTAGTCAGCACACTTTGTCTCTGAATAGGTCTCTCCCTACTCCAGGGTAGGGAGAGACTGAGCTCCAACTGGATGCATCTTGCACTCAGGAGCTTGCAAAATGAATAATTGATTTAGTCTCTTAAAGCTCCATGCTTCCTAGCAAAGCCAGAATGTATATTTCTGTGGGCCTTAGTTTTGCTCACGTTGGAACTGCAAGTTTTGGCCAGAATTTTAACATCCAGTAAAGCAGAGATCAGGTAAAACTAGCATAAAAAGCTAAAAGCTTTATTTCTTACAGATATCCCACCACATCCTACCTAAGGATGACTGTATCTATTTGTCATCCTTAAATCTATGTGCAATCGTAGAAAAGACACTTATAGTGTATGCAAATGGACCTCCAATTGAAGGATGTGGCAATAAGCATGGGTTAAAGCAAGTCAGCCAAACAAGAACTGCCCAGAGGCCACTGGCCCATGGAATTGTGCCCTGCTGGGGACACAGCTTTGCCCAGCGCGGCTTGCTGCTGTTGGCTGGAAGCTGCCCTTAGGGAGCAGCCCCCTCTCAGCACCCCTGACAAGGTCTCATATTGAGATCAGACAGATTCTGCAAGAAGGGTGAGGTTACAAAACTTTTAACTACCTCAACCATATAAGCTCTTCCTCGATTTATCTTTCAAGTTTTTGATAATTTTAGATTTTGAATGGTAGACCTGATGATTCCTGTGAATAGCTGTAAAAGGAAAGTTACTGCAGCAGAGCTCTGTAATCAAGAGGTCTCCATGGACAGCCTGTCATCCTGATGAGAGACACTTCTTAATGAAGCAAGGATGCCACCTTGTAGCTGAAACAATTCCTAAGTGCCCCAGCTCCCCTCATCACATTAATAATTCTGGAGTTACCGAGCTCCCAGCAACAAGAGGTTTTAGAGGATTTCAAAGAAATTATAAGTCTAAAGTTCAACACTCGAGCATGTGTAGCATGCAGAGGACACATTTCAAAACGTGTTTGAAGAGCATTAACAGTTTTGTACTACTGAAAAGATCTTTGAAAGGAAGAGTGTGGGTAGCAGCCCAAATATTGCTGGGGAGGCTTGAGGTTCACACACTTCTGTGAAAAGCTGAACTTCACTTCCAGGCAAATCAATCAAGAAGCCCTTGCACCTAAGCTTCACTGAGCTCCTGTTAGAGCACCTCAGTTACACTGATTCAATGATTAAACTTGTTCTGATTAATGGGAAAAACAGAATCCATGGTCAAAATACTGGACAAACTGTTTAAACTAATGAGTAAGGACACTGGTGTTTGTGAACCAGCTGGCAGTGGAAGCCTGGAGGAGCAAAGGAAAGCAGCTGCCTGCAGATAAGCAATAAATTCAAGCACAGGAGCAAAACGAAGGGGAACATGCTGGTGTACTTCACCACATCAAGTGGCAATACAGGCAACTGAGAAATGCTACACAACTGTTGATCATCTTACCTAGCTGATTAGTATCCTTGGGTTTTATCTACAGAAGTATGTAATAGAGCCTCTAGGAGTGGATCTGGGTGCTCAGTCCTTGGTCATCTCCTCTCCGTAATGTATTAGTGTACTCCTATGCTAGATTCTGAAGTAAAATTGTTTGCAGTAGTCCACATGCAGTGACTCTTAGTTGCTTCTGAAGGACCATCAGTTGAACAAGGTTGTCCTCTAGGGCACCCTGAAGAAGCTATAAGTCTAAAAGACCAGGGCACAGGCCCACCAAAGCCAACATGTAGCCTGGGCCATGTCTAGCTAGATGGCAAACTGGCATTTTCACCTGAGCTTCTGTGCCCCTGGCACTTTTTCCTGTGTAGATTAAGCTGTTCTCTTTGTTGCATTGCTTTGCTTCTTCCACAACTGAACACGACAGGCTGATACTCCAATACTGAGAAAAAAAGACAGGTTTTCAGCCAGTTTACGGGGTAGAACTACCATTCAGAAGAAATATATATTTTTGTAACAGTATGTGTGGCAAGTGCACCACAGAAATTAATTGTAGTTCCCACTGTACTGTGGCAATGGTGTTATTTGTCTTCTGATGGGGCTGGGGGAATGCAGAAACAATAAAGGCAATGTGTCAGGCTTTTCCAGGTCTAGCGTTCCCTAGAAACATAAAAGAAAAAAGTAACAAACAACTAAAATTATGAGTTTCTTGGGGACTAACAGCAATATTGGCCATGTTATTTATTTCCTTTTTGGCTTGTCTGTTGTTCTCTGACCCCAAAGCTCTCAGTGGTATGTACCCTGCTGCTTGTGAGGCCATGGTCTAGACTGGACTAAGGCATTTTAAAATGAACTGTCCAGTGTCTGTCATTTAAAAAACATGGCTCGTCTTATGGTTCTGACTTAGGGCACAGCCATGTGAACAGTTAATCAGTGCAGCTGTATTAATTCAGGCTCTAGGGGGAATGTGGGAGCAGAGTGAGACCAAATTACTTACACCAGACCTACTGCCAATGGAGCATGAAGCTGTGCTCTCTGTTAATAGCAACTGGATGGCTAAGGCAGGTAGGGATGTATCCACATTACTCAGCCAGCAATTCCAGTCACATTGCTCCTGTTCACAGCTTGCTTCTTTCCTCAGGATCCTATGCTCTTCAAGCTGAGTGTTCTCTTTGCCCTGAGTGGTATTTCCCATTTTGGAGATCATCTCTGTGTGAAAGCTCATTGTTAGCATTAGGCCTACATGCAGTGGTGAAAATCAAAATTCTACAGCACAACAGATTTGATCACTTCATTTTCTTGCCTGAAGCACACTGTGATTTCTTCCCTTGTTTGGCCCCGTGGGTGGAACAAGCATTTCAGTATACACTGCCATGCTCATTACAGGGAGTTCTTCCACGCTAGAAATATTAACATCTTTGTTATTACTGCCAGTTCTTTCCTCCCCCGTACCAAGCAGTTGCCTGAGCAAAAACTCCTTTTAAGGATAGACTCCCAGTAGTAGTGTTCTCCTCCTCAAAGTGAAGATCATCTCTTTAGAGGTCAGTTCCTCCTGCTTTCTAAGAATCCTGCCTCCCACATATCCCTTAGAAAGTAATTAAAGATGTCAGAACCACTCGCAAAAATATCACAGAAATTCTAGAAACCAATGTTCTAATTACCTCTTTGTAATCATTAACAACTCAAAATCGTAGCATTTAAGTTAAAAGTTTTATGCAAGAAAAAATGTTTAACATTTAATACAAAATCAAAGTTTGACACAGCTTATTTTTCACATATCGTCTTCTTTCTGTTCATCAAATGACAATTAGAAGATCACAATTAAAAAAGTAATCTGTAATACTTTTAAAAGTCTTATAAAAACATTCATAAAGTGCCACCCACGAAAGCACCTAAGCAAGGATCTGAGAAAAAAACCTATTAGGATGCTAATTTACTTAATTGCCGCTGAGGACTAAGCTGTCAAACAGCAGTGTAAATGGTGGAAATGTCGGTTTAACAACCATACAACCCAGCAAAAATTCTGTTCCATAGACTTGGCCCCGAGAGACCATCAGCTGGGCCCACGACAGGTACTTAGGGGCACGCAGCACAGTGCTGTGGGGTTTTGAAATAAATAGATGCTAACGCTGCCTAAACCCACGAGCACTGGCGAGTGCGAGGTGTGGATTCTCAGGGCAGCAATCATCCCAGGCCGTGGCCTTACTGCAAGGGCAAAGCCCAGGCAGCTTGTACAGAAAACAGGTACAGGTTTTAGCTGTTTTTTACTGGGACAAAAATTTACTCCCCACTAGAAATAAAAGGCACGGATCCTTGGAACGTTTCTACGTTCACTCTGGCCTCGAATGTACCATCCTGTAAGCACCTTCCTTTACCCCGACCCCAGAAGAGGGGCTCAGAACCACCACTGCAGTGCAGTGCACTGTTTCATTCAGCAGTGGCCCCCCTCCTTGCTCGAGTCTCTGGGCAGTGCTCACAAACAGATCTACCCAGAAGGAAAGGGCACAAGCTCCGAGGGCTCCCTCCCCTGGAATTCAGCCCCCCCGTGTGAGGTGTCCAGAAGCAGCTGTGTCTTGCCAACACCAGGTAGCTGCCCGTGGCCCACATGGCCTTCCTCTTCCCAGTGTCTACGCTGTGTGGTGCTTCTGGTGGCGCACCAGCTGGGGCTGGAACCGGAAGCTTTCCCCGCACTGGGCGCACTGGTACGGCTGCTCCCCGGTGTGGATGCGGGTGTGCTTGATCAGGTTGGAGTTCCCGCTGAAACCCCGCCCGCACTGGCTGCATTTGTAAGGCTTCTCACCCGTGTGGGTACGGGCGTGGTTAATGAGGTCAGAGCTCTTCCCGAAACGCTTGCCACACTGCCCGCAGGCGTAAGGCCGGATGCCGTCGTGGGCCCGCTGGTGCTGGAGGAGGTGGGAATGCTGGCTGAAGCTCTTCCCGCAGGCTGGGCACTTGTAGGGCCGCTCGCCGGTGTGCATGCGCTGGTGCTTGATGCAGGTGGAGCTGTCGCTGAAGATCTTCCCGCACTCGCTGCACACGTAGGGTTTGAGCCCCGTATGGATGCGCTGGTGCTTGAGGAGGTTGGAGCTCTGGCTGAAGCTCTTCCCACACTCAGCACAGGTGTAAGGCTTCTGGCCCGTGTGGACCCGCCGGTGCTGGATGAGATGGGAGCTCTGGCTGAAGCCCTTGCCGCACTCCCCGCAGAGGAACGGGCGCTCCCCGGTGTGCATCCGCTGGTGCTGGACGAGGTGGATGCTCCGGCTGAAGCCCTTGCCGCAGTCAGAGCAGATGGTGGGTCGCTCTACCCGAGGGACTCGCCGGGAGGCTGCTCCCACCCTCCTGGCCTGCCTTTTCACCAGGGCCACACCAGAGCAAGGCAGCTTCACCTCCTCTTCCTCCTCACAGTCACCTTGCTGCACCTCTGGGAAATCACACTGACTTCCACGGCTGTCCCCCAGCTGCTCCTCTCCTCCTCCGGACCCTGCTGCCAACATGTCCTGCTGATCTGTGCTTGCAAGGTGGTATGGAAGGGGACCTAGCTCACCACCTGGAAAAAAAAAGTACAACTCCAACTGTGATTCTCGCTGGGAAGTGGCACAGCAGAGAACGGGCAAGCTGTTCTCCTAGGGAGCCTGGTCTGCACCGTGCAGGAGAAGCAGTAAAGGGAAGACTGGACGTAAATGGAAACCTAGCTGTGAGAGGGGCGATGTGGCATCATCGTGCGACCCAGAGCAGACGTGCCACGAACTGCAGAGCCAAATGCAATGCTACAGGTGTCTCTTTGCCCCCAGGAGATCTTCACATTTTGTCATCTTAATGTTCTGCCTTCTCATACATACTCCTTTACCAGCAGGCTGACAAAGGCAGGCTGTCTGCCTGCCCTGAGGGGGAAAGAACAGGTCTCGATATGAGCTGCATGGAATAAAGTGGCTTAAATAATACTGAGGCAGCTCAAAAAGCATTTTGTTTGCCTTGCGTTTATAAACTTATCTAATTTATTGCTCACCCATGTGTATCTCCTCCAAGGCCTCATGATCTTGCTCTTCTTGGTCCATCTGGGCAGTTACGTCACTTTCAGCAATCAGGAAGCCTTCTTCCAAAAGCAGACAAAAGTAATCTTAGTTGAATATTCAGCAAAAGCTTGACAGATGTCTTAAAATCTACTGCCCCTGCTGAATATGGGGAACAAGCAAAGTCGTTGCATAAAAGAACCAACTAAGCAGAGTTTTACAGGCATCCTGAGCACTACTGAGGTATCTGGTGTCAGATACTTTCTCTTTCCTTAAAGGACATTCAAGGTTGCCCCTCTTCTGACAGGTGATACACATTGGGACATACACCAGATGTGCTGGACTCGGAACTGGTTGACAGCAATCATAGGCACTGGTGTTAGCACACAACAAAACCCAGACATACTTACATTTCTTTAATAATGACAGCCACGAGACTAACTACTCTTCTAAGATTATTTTAAATGGAAAATGACGTTTCAGTTATCAGAATTCAAATTAACCTGATTTTCTTACTTGCTGCCTCATCTCTTCTTTCTCTTCCAAGACTCTCAGGCTGAGGCAGCAAAACCCAACCAAACACGCAATTTGATGCCTTTTCTACTTCAGATGGAATCTGTTAGTTCCCTGCCTGGCATCCCTGCTGCGCTCCAACAACCACCATGAACCATCACGAACACAACTGTTGGGCAGGATGCTCTTACAAATGTCACCAGCACCCAAAGACAATAATTTTTCCTTCAGTATTTACTGTTTTAAAGGCCAAAACCAGCCAAACACTAAGAAACAGCAGTTAACATGAAGAGGACAGGCACTAGTGGCAAGAAAAAATCCCACTTCATTTTTTAAAAGTCAGAACTAAAGATGGCAGAGAAAGGATACCATATGGATAAATCTAGGACCAGAGACTGACATGCATTACAGCTGAAGGTGAGATCACTTACAGGAATATTTTTAAAGTATTTAAGACATTACTTTTTTTTCCCCTCCTTTAACCTTTATAGTCATTTAATTTCAGGCTCTGGTGCAAACGAACATTGTAAGCTGATGAGTGCCTGGTCGTGGACCACTTCATCCATCACTAAGAGCTATTTAACAGCAGGTAATGGGCAGTAAGGGAGCAGACAGTATCAGAATTAAGGAGATAACCCAGAGGAACGGAACAGCTTTGGACCTCGGTTTCCAGTGATTCTAAAACCACCAGTCTTGAAGTCTTTGACTCTACGTGGCAAAGCTGGACAGAAAGAAAGAGGAAGACTGCAAAAGAGCAAGCAAAAGAGAGAGATTGCAATCTTGAACAGTGAACTGTGAAGAAAAAAAAACAAACCCAAAAAAGAAGCCTTAGCAAAAATAGCCAACAAACAAACAAAACAAAAAAAAAAGCTGCCTTAGAAGTTAATAATCTGAGCCCCCACTTTAAAGTTTGCTGAAAGCTGGAGTGGACCATCCCTGCAGATGGATCCTTTCCAGCAGTTCCAAGCTGATACAAGAAGGGAGGTGGCTTTCTACAGCTCTCGGAACTTTGCCCACTACCAAGAATTTCTGCTGCAACAACTTGGTGGTACAAGCTTTACCAAGCTATTTCCATGCTGTAACTTGTACCAGGTGGCCCACCCCTCCTCTAGAACAGGAAGAATCAAAGCTCTATCCACACACAGACCATTTCCCCAGGCAGCTAACCACAAACAGCAGGGGTTCCCTCTGAAAGCTGTCAACACAGGAACTTTGGAGGAACAAACCTCCCATTTCAGAGGTGGCAATCAGCATCTGACAAATGTGCAGGGGAACATCTAAGCAAGCAGACAAGGCATAATGAAGAGCTCCCTTCTGACCCTGCAAAAACTTCCTGGCTCAGGTTGCCACTCAGATGTTGCTGCTACGCTCAGCTCTGCGGCGGCAGCTCATCAAAGAGCAGGCAGCACTTAGGCAATTAACAGGCTAGTCTGGACTAAGGGAAGAATGTCTTCCTTTTCCACAATCACAGTCACTCTCTGTGAAAGGAGGGAACAAACCTCACGAGCCGGGCAAACGTTCCTTCAGGGATTTCAACTGTACTGGGCAGAAGCACATCCTTGGGTGCCCTGGGTTACTGCTTGAATGTGGAAGCAGGAAGAACATGAGCAGATGTGGATGTGTGGGGTTACTGTATGCAACATCCCCTGCACCCACAAGACGTGAGGGGTATTTAACCTGGATCTCCAGCAGGAGCTTTGCAAACACACCATACTGTTCCTGGGGCCTCGACTTTAGTATTGTGACAGTATATGGAAATTTTGCAGCTGGGTCCTACAACTTATGTTCCTTACCTTAAATGTTTGCAAATAGCTACTTATTTTCTCTTCCAGCGGCTCAGCTCTGTGTTCCTCCTGGGGCAGCACCAAGCTGTGGAGGTTATGGGACTCATCCTAGTGCAGAGGGCCATGCTTCCAGCTTCTTGTGCTCCTTGCTACCCTGCAGCCTGTTCCTGCAGTGCTGTCAGTGGCTAAGCACACTCCCCATGCCAGACACAACAGCACAAACCTGCAATTCAGAAGAGGACATTAAAATCCTCCTCTGCCCAGCTGTTACCTGGGATATATAACGCTGGCAGTAAAATCAAAAGGTAATAGTTTTGTCACAAAAACCCAGTTGATTAGAAAGCTGCACACACCTCGCTTGGGTGCGAGGAGAGCCCGCTTTCCCTGTAGGTCAGATGTGCTCATAAGTGACAGCACTTGTCAGTGGCTGCTGTCCTGCCCAGCTCCGGGCCCACGCAGCGATGCTGGGGCTGCGGGGAGGCAGGACGGGAGGCAGGACGGGAGGGAGGACGGGAGGCAGGACGGGAGGCAGGGAGGGTCACTGCCAGGGCAGCCGCCAGAGAGCAGGGGGTGTGCAGAGCAGGGCGAGTGCCGTGTAGTTTTGGGGAACACGGATTTCGCTCAGAGCAGGGGTGCAAAGCTGCCCGTCTCCAGCAGCGGCCGGAGGCGCTGGGTGGAAACTGGGGGAGCCAGGTATTCGCTGTGCTGCAGGTGAAACGGGACGGGAGGGAGGGGGGGAACCGCTTGAGGGGCGCGGGATTCAAGCAGGCAAGGACGGCGACAACCCCGGGGTGGGGTCTCTGAGAAGGGCGAGTGGGTCTCCCCCTTCATCTCCGCC